AAATGAGGAATAAAAAAGAAAGAACTAAGAACATGAAATTGAGTCGAAAACAATCGTCCAGAATCCAAGCTCAGAGTCCAAAGGAGAAAAAAACCCTCCAAAACGAGTAAAAGTAACTACGTTAAGTGCTCAATAAACTAAGCAGAGCAAACCTAATGTAAACCTAAAGAGCCAGGTAAACCTACCTAGGTTTCATCTATACGGATCGTCAGAGTCAACTGGCTCTTTAGGTTCATATTTATAATATATATATATATATATATATATATATATATATATATATATATATATATATCAATAGTTATACTCGTTTGGAAAAACCTTAGGTATTTTGGCTTGTAAATGAACAAACCAATGCCGAAGTGAAAATAAGGGATAAAAAAAAAAAAAAACTAAGAACATGTAATTGAGGCGAAAACAATCGTCCAGAATCCAAGCTCAGAGTTCAAAGAAAAAAAACTCCAAAACGAGTAAAGCAAAAGTAACTACGTAAATTTCTCAATACGCTAAGTAGAGCAAACCTTAATATGAACCCTAAAGAGCCAGGTAAACCTACCTAGGTTTTACCTGTACGGATCGTCAGGGTGAATATATATTAAGATTAATATAGAAAAATTGTCACTTAACCTTTCGATGCCATCCCCGTCATGCCGGCTTCGAAGTTTCGTGAACGTATAGAATACGTTCACTAGTCAAGGCATTGTTTGCGTGATTATATACTTTTGTGAACATGTGTTTTTTTTTTTATTATTAAATACTACATGAATCTGTAAGTCTTTGGTTTTCGCTTGATAAATGGTAAGTTAGTTTTTTGTTTTTTTTTTGGTATTTTTCTTTCTTTTCTTTTTTATTGTAATTTTTTTTTTTTTTTTCGTTATCTTTGAGTTTTGTTTTTTTGGCCTTTTGTTGACTTTTAGGAGTGATGTAGGTGTTTTCGTTGATTGGGATGTTTTATTATTTTATGATGTGCTGATTGTTTAGTGGCTTTAATCATGGTGGTTGAATGTTTATATGTGTATATCTCTATGCGTTGTTAGTGTGTGCACGCACTTACTCGCTCGCGTACACATATTTGACTGGGTGTTTACGTCTGACTATGTGTTTATGTACCGTATGATTATTGGTGTTATTTGTTTGCGTTTATTGATGTCAATTTGTGTATTTTATGTAATTGTTTTTATTTTACATTTCTTTGTGCACAGATCTGTTGCTTTCATTTATTATCCATATGTACGTCCTCATACGCGTTCAGTGTGTATATGTGTATTTTTCTGTTGCAATGGGGGTAGGTTTTTCTTATTGACATTACCTTTAATCTTTTTCTGGTTATTTTGGTTTCGGTAAGGACAGGGGGTTGGGTGTGGGGATTTTATAATTGCAATAGAATTGCGTTTTATATATATATATATATATATATATATATATATATATATATATATATATATTGTGCTTGTTTGCTTCATTTGTATTAGTATTTAAGGGCAACTTACGTATTTGAGTGTCTGCATTTGTTTTTGTTTAGTAGTTTGCTTTGTTTTTTAAAAATTGATTATTTAATAAGGATACTAAGAATCTTCTTCGTGAATATGAGAGGATCCTATTGAAAATAAGTAGACAAAACTCATCTAAAACATTCAATGAGACGTGTCCTAATATATATATAAACATAAAAATGTCTTAGAATAATTATCAGACTTAGTGCATTTCATAATGTGTGACGTCATTTGTTTACATTTGGATACGCATTGAGCATATATGAATGTTAAGTGAGAGATTCATGGAAGATTGTAGTTTAAAAGCAGTAAGTTTAATTTTTAATATAATATATTTCTTTTTAAAACAACTAAATGTATTAGAATCACTTACAGTGTGTAAAATTATTTTCACATCAAGTATAGGTATGTATATTAGTAGGTCACAATTTTTTTTTTTAATTTATATTTAAATATTATTTAAGTAAAATGTTTTGACAATGACGGCAAAATAGCTAATTAATTTTTCTGTTTAAGTAAACTTTTATTTTTTATAGATTTTTTTAAAATCGTAGTTCAATAAAACGTATTCTAACCTAAACACCCCCCAATATCTTTAAATATACAAATAGAAAAAAAATGCCGTAAGAATTTTTGCCGTTAACAATAAATTTAAAAAAAATCCAGACGACATGCATTTAACGGATTGAAAAATACATCCCTACCCCTACCAAAACGTAACTAATAACTGATACAAAAAAATACAGCGATAATGAACACGCAAACACCCCTTGTCTGGTTGAATTGGATTTCTCTGTATCCTTGGAAATTTGAATTATGATTTTTTCCTGTGCCTTTAAAAACCCAGTAATTCTAAAAGTTACTCCAAAATTCGCTTGAGGATGAAATGCAACTAATGTCTTTAATTTAATTACAAAATTAAATTCGAAGCTTTTAGCTTCCATTTTTTAAAACATGGTTAGAACTGTGTAGCGAAAAACATATTTTAAATCAGTTAATTTATAATATTAATGCTTTGTAAATTTACATTGAGCACTATTTTGTAAAAATAAACATATCTATAAGAACACCGGATTATATATCTTACAGTTCTTTTATTTATATATATATATATATATATATATATATATATATATATATATTAAATTTGCGTGTTTAGGCAGCAATCTTTCTTTACATGAACATTTCATTGAATACAACAGACAAGGTGCTTTGATTTATTTTTTTATACAATTTCTCTGTGATCGAATATGTTTTTTTTTTCGGATGATAAATAATATAAAAATTGTCCAATTTAACCAAGCGCTTTCGGCTACACATTTAGCCATTTTCAAGGTTGAAATATATTAACTGTTAACAAGAAATAGATTCTTGTATATATGTATTTATATGTTTTCATCTTCAAAACACGGTCAAGAAATTGTGTCCATGTTCACAGTTAATCTTATTGAGTGCATATATATATATATATATATATATATATATATATATATATATATATATATAAACACTTTCATATTTAGCCCTATCTATCTAGCTATCTATCTATCTATCTATCTATCTAATCCTGTTCAATATCTATCTATCTATCTATATTTATATAATGTTTTCTTCTTCAAAACACGGTCAAAAAATTGTGTTCATGTCCACAGTTAATCTTGAGTGAATATATATATATATGAGGCAGAGGCATGCGAAATCATAGGCATTTACTTACTACACGAACTGAGCAAAATAATAGATAAAAATGACACAGGACTCTACAGGGACGACGGTCTCATAATCTTAAGGAACTGTAACAAACAAAACACAGACAAAACTAGAAAAGCAATAATAAAGATTTTTAAAAATAACGGATTCGACATAGATATAAAAACTAATCTAAACGAAGTAGATTTCCTAGATGTTACCTTCAACCTAAGAGAAGGCACATATAAACCATATAGAAAACCTAACGATAAACCACTCTACATACACACATCTTCCAACCATCCGCCTTCTATAATCAAACAGATACCAAAATCGATTAACCGCAGGCTCTCCGACAATTCCTCCAATGAATCCCTATTCAACAAAGCTAAGAAAGACTATGAAACGGCCCTAAAAGATAGCGGATTCCCAGCAATACTCACATATTCACCACAGAATACAAAAAAGACCAACAGGAGAAGAAATATCATATGGTTCAACCCACCTTACAGCAAGAACGTAAAAACAAACGTAGGAAAAATATTCCTCAAACTCTTACACAAACACTTCCCAGAATCAAGCACCTTACACAAGATATTCAACAAAAACACAGTAAAAATCAGCTACAGCTGCACCGAGAGCATGGCACAAATAATAAAAAAAGCACAATAGGAAAATTATCAACAACCCACACGAAAAATTAAAAACCCACGTGCAACTGCAGAATAAAGAACGAATGTCCCTTAAACGGAAATTGTTTACAAAACAACGTAATATACCAAGCCACGATAAAATCACCAGATAATGAAGAAAAAAAAGTATACATAGGAGAAACTGAAGGACCCTGGAAGCAAAGAAATTATACACTCAAAACATCGTTCACAAATAGTAAATATACGAACAGTACTATGCTTTCTAAGTATATCTGGGAAATAAAAAACAAAACGCACATCACACCAAAATATCTTGGAAGATAAGGAAAAAGTCATCAGCCTACAACAACCAATCAAAAAACTTGCAAACTTTGCTGGTGGGAAAAAATAGCTATCATTACCTTCCCCGACCAAAATAAATTATTAAATAAAAGATCCGAGCTCATCTCAAAATGCAGGCATGAAAATAAATTTTTACTACGTAACCTAAAAAATGAAAAACGGAAAAAATAAAAACAAACAAATACACTAAAAAAAAAAAAAATAAATAAATAAATAAAATAAAATAAAATAAATAAATACTATGTTGCTTAAAAACCGAAAACCGAAAAGAAAAAATATACAAATAAATTGACCTAAATTCAAACCAATCCCAAATTAAAAACTGTTCCCGCCAAAAAATAATAGTTAGAATGAACTACAACAACCAACCCCAAAATTGAACAAATAGCTTTAATCAAATTCTCAAACCAAAACAAAACTGTTAAATACGTGATATAAACAAATTTTTACTACGTTAATAAATAAATAAATAAAATAAGAAACAAAAAAATAAAAACGAGCAATATAATTTGACCCAAATAAATAAACAAAGCGACTTCCGGTAAAAACTAACCGCCATAATAGAATACCCACAATGCACCACTAACCCGTATATATATAAATAGCCGAGAAAATAACAGCATATGTGGCCTGACGATTGCATATAGCATGAAAACAGACTGTCGCCTCTAAGTGTTGACTTCTATGTTCACTTTTATATATATATATATATATATATATATATATATATAAACACTCATATATATATAAACCTTCATATTTTAGCCATATCTATCTATCTATCTATCTATCTATCTATCTATCTATCTATCTATCTATCTAATCCTGTTCAATATCTATGTATCTATCTCAGTCTGTTCATATCTATCAAATCTGTTCATATTTATCTAAAATGACTTTTCATGTCTGTATCTTTTCTTTTCTTCTTCTCTTTCTTTCTTTTTTCTATCTATCTATCTATCTATCTATCTATCTATCTATCTATCTATCTATCTATCCTATCTATCTATCCTGTTCAATTTTTAATATCTATCTATTTTCTATCTATCTATCCAATATAATCTATCTATCTCAGTCTTATTTTTTTTCCATTCCAATCTATTCATTCTTCATCTATCTTTCTATCCCTATCTATCTAACAATTCTTCTATCTAATCCTGTTCAATATCTTTTCGTTTCTCCTTATCATTTTTCTATCTATTTATCTATCTATTTATCTCCGCTATCTATCTATCCAATTTTTTTCTTGAACTGCCTTAAATTTCAATTTTTAATTAAAATATCAATATAATTATCTTTTTAAAAAAACATTTTGTTTTATCTACGTAGATTCTTGAACCTGTTGATAATCGGTTTTGTTTCCAACCCAATCATGATTTCCTTTGACTTTCCCTGTCTCAGAAGAACAATTCTTCAATACTTAGATTTCCCTCGTCTTTCTTCAAACCGAAAATATTATTTTCGTTTCTCCTTGGAGGCAGACATTTTTTCTTGATTCCTATTTGCTGCTTATTATTTATGATCCGCTAATCGCTTGATTCCTTCCAATTTTTTTCTTCAACTATTTTATAATTTCAATTTTTTAATGAATTTATCTGTCGCTGAATTATCTTTTTGGTTTAGAGACATTTTTGATTTATCTACGTAGATTTTTGAACCTGTTGATAAAATTTTTGCCATATATATCTATCTATCTATCATATCTAAAAAAATCATGATTAAATATGTATCCTCCTTTGTTCATTATCTATCCCCTAAATTTTCATTTTTAGCTAAGTATAGAATATGTTCATATCTATTCCCAACCTCAACCCCAACACCCACTTTAAGGCCATGTGCCAGAATTATTGTATTTTACATTAATAAATAGAATCTATCTATCTATCCATCTATCTATCTATCTATCTATCTATCTATCTCAGTCTGTTTAGATCTATCTATCTATCTATCTATCTATCTCAGTCTGTTTTATCTATCTATCTATCTATCTATCTATCTATCTATCTATCTGTCTATCTCAGTCTGTTTTAGATCTATCTATCTATCTATCTATCTCTATCTATCTATCTATCTATCCATTTATTCATATCCATCTATCCATCTATCTATCTATCTATCTAGGTTCCATCGTATATCTTTCTCCATCTTTCCTATCTATTTATCTATCTATCTCTTAGTCTTTTCATATCTATATATCTATCTGTCTCTATATGTTCATATCTATCTATCTATCTATCTATCTATCTATCTATGTTCGTATCTGTCTTTTCTTGGATCTATTTTAGTCTGCTTCTATCTATCTTAGTCTTTTCATATCTATCTATCTATCTATCTATCTATCTATCTATCTATCTGTCTCAGTCTGTTCATATCTATCTATCTATCTATCTATCTCTCTATGTTCGTATCTATCTTAGTCTGCTTCTATCTATCTATCTATCTATCTATCTATCTATCTATCTATCTATCTATGTTCGTATATATCTTAGTCTGTTTCTATCTATGTTCATATCTATCTATCTATCTATCTATCTATCTATCTATCTATCTATCGCAGTCTGTTTAGATCTATCTATCTATCTATCTATCTATCTATCTATCTATCTATCTATCTATGCCAGTCTGTTTAGATCTATCTATCTATCTATCTATCTATCTATCTATCTATCTATCTATCTATCTATCTATCTATCCAAGTCTGTTCATATCTATCTACAATGTCATACAATTTCAATCTTTTCATGTCTGTATTTTTCGTTTCTCCTTCTTTTTCCAATTCTTTCTTTCTTTCTTTCTTTCTTTCTTTCTTTCTTTCTTTCTTTCTATCTCGCCCTCTCTAACCATTTTTATCTATCTATTTATGTATCTATCTATGTATGTATCCATCTACAATCTCTTCAAATCTATATTTTCGTTCCTCTTTCTTTCTTTCTATCTATCTATCTATCTTTCTTTCTTTCTATCTATCTATCTATCTACGTATGTTCATATCTATCTACAGTGTCATACAATTTCAATCTTTTCATGTTTGTATTTTTTGTTTCTCCTTATCTTTCTTTCTTTCGTTCTTTCTATCTTGCTCTCTCTAGACCTCTTTATATCTATCTATCTATCTATCTATCTATCTATCTATCTATCTATCTATCTATAAACCTTTTCATATTTATCCTTATCTATCTATCTAGCTATAAAAAATAGTTTTTTTTTGTAACTGACATCCACCTGTGTTAGGAGGGTGGTCTAAAAATAATTGTTTCCTATGACCTACCTGTAACGTTAGAGTATTGTTTAACTTCAAGTCCAACTAGTATATTTTTTTTCCCCGAATGCCAAAATTATAGACCAATAAGCCTGATCAGCCCCCCACCCCCAGCAATGACAGGCTGCTCAACCTTATGAAATCCAGACCTGAAGAACAACTATCAGAAGAGCAAGCAAGTTTTATATCTGGGCGGAACACAGTGGAACAAATCTTTAACTGTAGGGTCCCCATCGAAAATCATCTGCAAAACCACAGGGCACTTTTTCCCCAATTTTATTGATTTCAAGAAAGCATTTGATCGACTATGTCATGATGGCTCCTGATACGTCCTCAGAGGATTCGACATAGACGAATGGCTCGTACAAAGTCATCCACGCCCTCTATGTCCATGTCATCTGTGCAGATCTCTTGAGTAACAAAGTCGGAACTTTCTCGTAGACGACTGTCAGAGTTAGACAGAGACGCCTCTCCAACACTCTCCGGCCCGTTTCTGGAGATGATTATTCAGGAAACTTTTCACGACCACAACGCTTCTATCTCTGTCGGTGGTAAACCCCTCTGGGTTTCGTTGATATTTATCTTATGGCGGGCAGTAAGAGTTAGCTGCGAGACAAATGACCAACAAACTCGTTGAAAGTGCCGGAATGGATATCAGCACATAGAAATTCAAAGAAATAGTGTCAGCCTAAAGAACACCAGAGGCAGTGTCACCACCGATGGCGAACAGCCGTCTAGTTTGAAATCGCTATTTGAAATATAACTTAACTATTAGCTCCTTATAATAATTTCATCCTCCTTGGGATTACCCATACGGATTGAAATCGCCACAGTCACAGCAGTGACGGCCAGGCATCAAAGTATATGGAAGAGCAACATCAGTTTCCATACCAAGTTCAAGCTCTACAAATCGCTGGTCTTATTCATCTCTACAACTGAAAGACTTGGACTTGGTTGAGAATGGAAAGGTGATCCAGACCTTCGAGTAGAAATGCTTGAGAAAGTTCCTCCGTATCTCCTGCTGGGAACACAAAACTAATGATTGTCTCCGAATCAAGGTCAAACGTTCCTTGCGCCGACAGGTATCTCTCCTCGCCACTATCAAGCGTTGGAATAATTGTTTGGCGCCGTCACACGGCCCAACACCCCCCTGAGAAACCATCATCTAAGGCGCAATTGAAGGAAGGCGCAAGCGGAGACAGCAACGCTAAAGCTGGTCAGAGAGGGAACAGACATGAAAATGCCGGAACTCCTGGGAGCCAGCGCCAATAGATCATTCTGGAAAGCGCTTTCATAACCTGGGTTTTCACGCTTTAGCGATCATCAGACAAACTGATTTATTTTTTAAAAAGAAATCGATTCGGTTTTTAAAAAAATCAATCAGTTTATCTGATGATCGCAAAAGCGAGAAACTAAGGGTTACAAAATCACATCCATACAAATAACTACACACACACACACACACATATATATATATATATATATATATATATATATATATATATATATATAGATAGATATAGATATAACTAACCTAGTAAGCCAGACAACATAAGCGGATCGTCAGGGAAAGCTGGCTTTCCCTGACGATCCGCTTAGGTGAAACCTGGGTAGGTTTGTCTCGCTCACTAGGTTTATCTAGGTCTGCTCTACGGTTGTATTGAGCTCTTTTGTTAGTTAGTTGTTTACTCGTGTCGGGTTTTTTTTTTGGGGGGGGGCTTCAAACCTGTATCTGTGCGATTTTTTTCGACAGACTTTCATGTTTCTAGCTCTTTCTTTTTTTTAAAACCTTTTTTTTTTTCCTCGGGATTGATTTGATTATTGGCAAATCAAAAATTCGAGTGTTTTTCGAAACGAGTATAGTTATATATATATATATATATATATATATATATATATATATATATGTTTGTGTTTGTGTGTATGTGTGTGTGTGTTTGTATGTATATATGTTTCATTGAATGCTATAGACATATTGTGTTTATTTACTTTTAGACTGATCCTTTCAATCAATTTCTTGATGTTCAGATGAAATTCATGAAGGAAGGTGCCGTAGTTTTTGTAAACCTAAGTACTTTCGGTCTCACTGTATGACTTCTTACTGAGTCTACGTGCTCACTGTGACGCTTGCTCGTTACGTTTGTGCTCGTTCGGCCTTCTTTCTCGTCCTTCCCCCGGGTATTCACGTAGCAGTAGTATATGTATACCCTGGGTGTGTCCATTTGTGTAAAAAGGGGATAACCCCTCAACAGTAACTATCCTCAGGGAAAAAGGGAAATAAAACCAACCTATGATTACCAGTACCCAAAATAACGATGTAACTATCCTCACAGGGAAATAAAGCAACCTCAAACTGACCAAAGGGATTGACATAGCAGTAAAACCAGGAAATTAGACCAAATGATCGATTATCAGGATGTGGAAAAGACTGATACTGTACCAAAAATTCAGGAAAAAGTGTAATTTTACTAACAATAGTCCCAGGTTACCCAGAATATCACCCCTTTAAATTACAGCCGGACACAATTTCCAAAATAACGATGTAACTATCCTCTGGCACATAC